TCTGTCTGTCTGTCTGTCTGTCTGTCTGTCTGTCTGTCTGTCTGTCTGTCTGTCTGTCTGTCTCTGTCTGTCTATCTATATCTATTCTGTCTGTCTGTCTATCTATATCTATTACGTCTGTCTGTCTATCTATATCTAGTCTGTCTGTCTGTCTGTCTGTATATCTATCTATCTATCTATCTAGTCTGTCTGTCTATCTATATCTATTTTGTCTGTCTGTCTGTCTATCTATCTCGTTCAGAATCAATGTCAGAGTTGGTTGTTTCCGAGATGTCACGTCTAGAGTTTGCTGTTTTCATGATGTTGCATTTAGTGTTTCTCCATTCATTTCATCCCTTATCAAATGACTTCTTTTATTTTAATGTGGAAATCTGTTGTATTTCGTTTTATAGTCTTATAATTGATATTAATAATATGGAAATAGCATTAAAATTAAAGTTTAATAAATATTAAAAAGATAATATTTTTGGACAGTCCAATATTTCGTTCAATTTGAATTAAAAATCGTATATGGAAGCAACAAATCGCACAGCTATTTTAAAATCAGCACAAACCCTCATGAATCCCTTTCTCAATTGTCAGAAAGTTGCAGGGAAAACCAAAGCATTGAAATAATAACAGATATTTATTGTATCATACATTTTAATTTTCAGTTTGCAGACGTTCCGACACACACTGACATGCAGGTACAGCTTATGAAAAAGACTGTACAAATAGAAAAGAGCGATAGATAACAGGACAATCAACAACAACAATAATAATAATAATAATAATAATAATAATAATAGGCTAGTTAATAATTAATAATATTAATTAATAATAATATTTTTGTCTTTGGTTTTATTAACTGTCTTTGTTTGTGCAGCTCACTATTACACGCCGATATATTTGCTTTCAGCTAACTTTAAAAAGTACAAAAACACGTATTTCTCTAGCCAAATACATTTTAATAAATAGCAAAAAAACTAACAAAAAAAAAACTTTTAAAATAATAAAATTAAAGCGAACATATTTTCTTAGGGGACAGGCAGGCTAACTAGGCTACGTTAAATCAAATACACAATAGCAAATAACATTGACGTAAGACATCTTTGCTGAGAAAAGGCAGAATAACAGAAAGAGTCATAGACTCATGAAGCATTAGTTCCAGGGTCTGTACTCGGAGGTGATGCTGCTCATCCCGGGAAAAGAGAAATTGTCTCCCAGCTGTTTCTGTGGATGCAAAGAATCTATGGGGAAGAGCGTGTTTTCGTTTCCAGGAAGAACAACAGTGTTGTCCAAAAGTGGTCGTTCTGAGGGGAGAGAGTTAGGTTTTATTAGATAAGCCTATATAGCCTATTATGTTAATAAATGGCTCATGTGAATTCAACAAATATATATAGGCTATTAACATCATTAATATTTAACCCCTTAATCTCCCGTTCGGTTTCAAATATTTTTACATGTCGATAATTTTCAGTCCTTTTCAAATTTCAAAGTCGTCTACTAGGCTACTTAGGCTAAATGGAATCCCGGGAAGCAGCTTAAAATGTCTTCGTACTTTTATGCGTCTTCATGTGAAATTTCAACTCTTGTGCTCCTTGGAAAGTGGTTCCACACACATCGCAGGAGAAGGGCTTGTCTTTGGAGTGCGTCCGTCGGACGTGGCTGTCGTGGGCCGCGTGAGAGGCGAACGCTTTCCCGCAGTGTTTGCACTTGAACGGCCGCTCGCCGGAGTGCTGGTGCATAGGAAGAGAAAATATAGCTTTAATATAGCTATTTCATATCAGAAAACAGTTATATGCATTATGTCAATCATGTGTTCCAGGCAGACGTTTTATACAAAATCTGGATTTCAATTATAATTTTTATTTATTTTCAATTTGCTATTTACCTCCCACATGAGAGTGTTGTCATCATAGGCTTTGATCTCACTTGTGTTCACTAGTTTGCCCTGAAACGGTCCAAACCTGGTGCCTTTTGAAATTGTGCTTTTATCAGCAAATACTCCATAATGGGAAAGGCTTCCACAATTAGTTTGGAGAATCGATAAACCTGAAAAATTCAAGACACACTCCATGAAATTGCCTTCAGAGTCAGACTAGAAATTCTCACGAAAGAAAGAAAGAAGTTAATTTACCATCTGGGAGTTCAAATCCGTCGGTATCAACAGGTAGAATATGACGATCAGCTAATTAATTTTAAAAAGCATGAGTTACAAACACAATTTTGGAAATTAAACATGAAAAACTAGAAGAATGTGGCATTTAAACAGAGTGAAAGGTATGTTTATTGTACTTGGAACAACGTAAAATATTTCATTCACATTATCAGTATGTGTGCAACATAATACATGCTGCCAGATTTGTTTGTCTGTTTGTTTGTTTTTTCAGCACAATAAAATTGCTTTGCGCTATATAAATTCAAATGACTATTATATACCTGTTTTGAGAGGAAATGATAATCCAGATATGGCATGTCCAACATTTTGCCCTTGTTTTTTGGAATATCCGTACAGGACAGTGAAGAGGTCTTCCTCTGTAAAACTGTAGGTGCGCGTGTGTTCTGGCGATGTATCTGCGGCCTTCAGGCAGCTGAAACTGTCCTTAACCGGAGAGGATGAAGCCGAAGAAGACTTTCCACTGGACGGGCTGCTGAACTCGGACGGACAGCCGGTGCTCTGCTCATGTCCGTTGTACATGCTTTGTGACGGCTGCGTGTGCTGGAAATATGGCATGCTGGACACGTTGAGAATCTGCTCATGGAACGCCGCGGTTTGATGGCTGTTGTGGCTAAAAAAAGACGGAGTCCCGGCGAAGTTAAACGGCATGATTGTCTGTGCGTCGGTCACCATGCGGCCCAGAGACTTGAGCGGATGGAAGATGCTGTGCGCGCCGGGCATAGACGGGTAGACAGCCAGACTCCTGTCCCTCACTGCGGGGTGACTGGAGAGAGACACCGACATCGCCACAGCTGATGAGGGGGGATCCGAGGAGAACTTCACTTGCAGTTTGTTTTCAGTACTGTAGGCTGTAAAATATTTTCATTAATATAAAAATATCTTTGTTTCCATCCCATTTTTTAAATTATTGATAAAAGTAATTTCTTCTCGATTTTAGGAGTTTTCAGATTTTCATTTAGATTTTCTCCATCTGTAGCTTTAAAACTTGCAGTCTGGCACAACTTTGATTTGACTTCATTATTTCAAACAACAATTCAACTAATTGTATGCTGTTTTCTTTAAGTGTGTATTGACCTATTTTGTCTTAATTCAAAATTAAAGCAAAATAAGCATAATGAGACGTATTTTCACTCTTAAAAAGAAAGGTTCTTCAATGGTTCTTTGCAAAAGTTCAGCGAAGATCAAGAACCATTTTTATCTGGTTATCCCAATCTTTATTTTTAGGAGTGTAGGCCTACTACTGAGAAAGTAAAAAATTCCAACACAAACAAACCAAAAATACGACTTTCTAAATAGACAAATTTTGCCTGCAGAAAGTCAATTTAAAGAAATTTTTTAACATGCGTTGTAAATTAACCAATTTCCAATATTGCCTACTTTTTTTCCCCGATTGGCCATTTTCTAAACTGATCACTAGACGGAACTGTGCGCGAACGCGCCACTATCAGAGACTCATGAGGGTCGTGACACTACAGTTTAAGAACAGAGGGTCAGCAAGAAAGGTCACCATTAATGAAGCCTTTCCAACTCTTTTAAAAAGCATTAAAGGTGTCATGCGCCATAGACTCCTGACCTCAGCTGGTTATTGCACATGAAGAGTGGGCTTAAATCCATAATGGTAATGCAAAATAAAACACACATATAAGTTATCTGTCAACAAAACTAGAAAAATATTGTTGAGTGAAATGGGTTACAAAATGTTCTTACCATATAGCGACTTGTGCAAGTCCTGAGATCCTCCTCTAGTGTTTGGGTAACTTTTGACTTGGCGGTTCAGGAGAGATGGCCTGAGGTCTTGTGTGTGTGAAGCTTGAGACAGGTCTGAAGACATATGGTTGAGTGTAAGAAAGCTACTAGAGAGGGGATGCCTTTCCCGGATCTGTGCTGTCATTGGTCAGTCCTGGGTTCATCCTCTGGGAATTGCACTTTAACACATTGTAGCAGCGCTGAACAGCTCTCTTTCATATGCAGCACAGTCTCTAATGTGTTAACTACTGCAGGCGCACTGTTAACCGCTCCTAACCGGGCGACGGTGCGAATGGCACGAGATCAGTTTAGAGGCTCTTTGTGAAATCGAAAGTCATCAGCGGCATTCATTTAATAGTGGGACATGAACATTGTTTCAAAACAGACGAAGCATCTGCGGTAGATGATTTAATTCCGTGAAAACGAAGTTTCACAGCACCATTGACACCTCACAGCCAACTGTGCTTTATACATTACAAAAAAAAAAAATGCAAAAGGTAAATAAAGTCTGGGTGCAGGATTCAAAACTTTAACACAATTATACAGTTTGAGCTAAAACATAATTGTTCTAAATAATAAGCACAATAACTATCATTGTTATGAATTATTTAGAATCTTTGGTTCTGCTTTGAGTCACATTTATTTTGTAGTTTTGTTTTATTTATTTTTTTTTGTTTAGCAAAATATAATAAAAATAAAATATTAAAACTTTTTAAGTTACCACAAATAACAAAATATATTTATTATTATTATTATTATTATTAGCAGCAATACTACTAATAAACTTATATAGTATAATAATAATAATACTTATTTAATAAATTGTTTACAAATTATAAAAAAAGTTCTGTGGGTTCAAGGCAACTTTCGCTTTTTTTTTTAACAAAAATATTTAACAAAATAAATTATTATTAAACCAAACAAATTATCAGGTACACATAATTATCTCCAGGAACAACAGAATCATAGTTTTTATTCTATTCATATAGATCCCGTTAAGTGTCTCATATATGCAGAGATAAATTCAACAAAATATGTGTATTGTCAGACTGGAAGAAGTGTTAATAAATGTGTTTTCTGACATTCTCTTGAATAAAACACAAGGTCTTGATTTTTTTTGCCGTCAATGTATATAATCTTAATTTTACATGGGAAGAAACGTTATGTGGCACTTTTCATTTTTATTTATTTTTTGGCGCTTCATCCATTTACTGGCAAAAACAGGCAAACGCACCTGTATTATTAATTCAACCTTTGTAATTATCCCATAACAATTTTTTTTTAATCTATAAAAGCTTTTATAAAGATCTATGCATCACACAATCGAAATGGAAAACATACGCCGTGAGATGTTTATAAATGTTGCAATAACAGAATTCTTTATTTACAATTCAATTTGATTCAACATCAAATAGCATCAGCAAAGCCATATTAGTTGACAACTTGCATAACTGTATTTAAATTTCTCTCGGTATATCTAACTTTGCATAAAAGGCTCACACTAAGATTACACACATCGATGCGGATGAACAGAGATGTTTATGTGAGAAAACTGGGAAAAAAAATACATCTCAGGAGCACAACACTGTAAGCTTTCTCCAAAAAGTCCTTATAAATTACATATTGCTTCGATTTCCCATTGCATCATCTTCATTCTCACACATAACTGAGAAGGTAAAATCCAGACTGTACAAATAATAAAACCCACAACTGATCACAAACAAAACATGGAAAATGAGCAATATTGAGACTGGAGGAGAGAGAAAGAGAGAGAGTGCAGGTGCGTGAGGGAATGGAGAAAGAGAGACAGGTATGTATGTATCCAGCAATAGATGAGCAGTAAAGAACTGGGTCGATCCTGTCAATGATTCACTATACAAATATAATACAGACAACTTTTGTAATTTACAAGACAGTAAAACAGATCTAAGGCAATATGCTAAGTGTTAGCATTTCAAGGTTGTTGCATTTAGCTCTAAGAAATTGGCAGACTATACAAAAAGACATTTAAAGTCTCAGAAAAAAACCCAAAAGGTAAGGTAAAGACAATTTTAGGAAATTCAATAGCCGTTACGATTCCATTTATTTCTGTATTTTAGGACAAATGGCTCTTTTTGCACTAGCACTGATAAAAAGACTAGAAAACTCTGCACCACCTTCATATCATGGCTTATATTTATTTCAAAATCTTGACAATCTTTGGACTTTTCAGAGGGTAGTGGTAGGCTACATGTGCGACCTCAAAACTGGCTATTCTCCAATATGATAGTATAGATGCTTCTGGATGACAGTCCTTGTTCAAGGCATCCAACATTCATCAAAATTGTGATCAAAAAAGCTTGGAATAAAGGAGTACTCGATTTAGTCGACAAATGTTAGCAGGTTCACTGAACTCGATTATTAAATCAAGTTTTTATCCCACACGAGAATGCAGGTGTTTCTCAAAGGACACAGAAAGTTTTGAATGGTGGGCAGAGTGACGCTTCACCCAAACAATGTGAAATCAAATTTGTATTACAGCGTTCAAAAGGAAAAGCTAAAGCTATACCAAAACACCAGGTAGGCTATATTTGTACACAACCACGGCACCTTCAGCGCATAATGACAGAGCTGGTCGTTGCAAACCTCAGTTGCTGCTGGTACATACAGTATATACTTAATAAAACATGTAGTAGCCTACTTTTTTTTTTGTTTGTTTTGTTTTTTTAACACACCAGCTTGAACACAGATGGCATGGCGATATTTTCAGCGAAAGCTAAAGCCTGACAATCTAACCCCGATACAAACCGTGTGCAGACATGAGACAAAATATGAAATGAAAGGTATGTTTAAGTCTACTGATCAATTCAAAGGCAAGGAAACTTGGCTTCGTCATCAAATAGGCTAGAAAACACAAACTGTATTGCGTAGCCTACATTACAGCGTTAAGAGTTCACGTGCCTGTAGTGACCGCTGATCCAAATCTGAACCGTTGATCCGGAGGTTTTCAAGACGGTGAACATTAATGTGAATGTAGGAATAGCCACGCAAAACATAAATGCTGCTTTTTAAAAATGTATTAAAAATTTTTTTTTGGCTACACCAGAACTAAAACCTGCTTTTCACTGAGGAACAAGCAGATTTGGACATCTTGTTTTTGTCTTTCTCAAAATAGAAACCACAATAATAATAATAATAATAAAAAAAAAAAATCTATCTTTAATACTGAGTTTGAACCGGGGAGCATAAATGTGTCTCCTGAAAAGTCCTGTACAAAAATTACAAAACAAAACAAAATCTCAAGTAATATTTATTGCTTGTTGTATTTTCTTACACACACCGGATTCTGCTTGTACCTATAGCGTCTGGCATGAAGCACGTCACTCCACACAACAAAGAAAGCACGCTTCAGTGTTGAGTTTATGGCTGTGTTGGGTTCCTCCGGTGGGGCTCCCGGCTAAAGGCTTAGAAGCAAGCGAGTATCTGTACACTGTACACACAGAACCCTCCCAGACCCCCACCCAGGAAAGAAGGACCACCTCACCCCAGCTCCCCTTCCTTAGTACCATATGAATCAGCACATACTCATCTTCCTGCCAAACGAACATGCTCGTCGTGAGAAATTCGCCCTCATTCCAGAAACAGTTAAGACCAGACTTTGAGGGGAGGAAGGGGAAATATACCGAAAAACTAAATAAAAAATAAATATAATACGAAAAAAATTCCCCTCCATTATTGGTATTTACAATCTACCAGCATTTCATTTTACTAACCACAACTAAACAAAATCAGGTTCTCCGAAACTACTGGACCAAGGAAAACAAAATCCATAGGTATGCTGAACTTTTTTCTTATTCTGAGGCAATTCATATGCACTCTGAGAGATTTTTCTCTTTCTAACCGATGGTTTATAAAGAAATCTACAATGTTATTTAAAAATGAAACTATACATTAGAATAAAACTTAATTTAATACACAATAAACCTCTTGACTAAATTAATTCTAATTTTACAAACCATCATCTGAATTCTCATAATCTATATGTAGACGCTTTTTCAACATCATTCTATCTTTATTTGCACTGAAAAAAGAAAAAAAAAAAAGAAAACCAAAAGGCAAAATGGCTGAATTTTGAGCGTGGATTATAAATGCAGTCTTCTTGTCTGTTTTGGAACGTCAGATTGGAAAGAAGTCAGAGAGAAAGATGGTTGGGCAAAATAACGTCTTCTTAAGAAGAGTCTGAAGTCCAGTGGACGAACCAGGAAGAAAGACAGGGAAAAAGAGAGGGAGGAATACATTCATAGGAGACAAGGATTCCGATGCCACTGTCACAGAGTCTTTTCAGGGGAGACCTAAGTCACACTACGGTGAATGCAACGGAGCAGACTGACGGAAAGGGCTTGCAGAGTAAGTACGAGACAGAAGGCCGTGCTCGACTGAAGGAGGGGCGGGGGATTCTAGGTCAAAGTGTCAGAAGATCAAAGTGTCAGTGTGTGTGTGTGTGTGTGTGTGTGTGTGAGCGAGAAAGAGAGTGAGGCAGAGTGTCCATCCCCTCTGAGCTCCAGTACCCCTGATGCATCCTCTAGAGATGTCCAGTAGGGGGCAGTAGACAGGCTCTCTAAAGACCCCTACAGCCCCGATAGCAGCTTAAACAGCACAGCATCACTCCAATCTCTCCTTGATCACGCTGCAGCTGAAAATCACTCATCAAACATCTTCATTAAACTCGGTTTACTTTATTGGGATGTCGTCTGCCCCGGGTCAACAATACTTCTGCTGTGGGAAAGAGAAAAAGAAACCTGGCCTTAGACT